TGAAAACACTTAGACAAATGTAAAGGGAAGTCGCCTTTTGAGGCAAACCATGGGGTGGTTTGAAGGGACAGCCGAAATGAACGCTATTTGGGGGCACACACATTTTGACACATATCGATACCCATTTGAGTCCAGTCGCCGGGCATGCAGTGGTCCCCTTCATGGTTTATTTGAGTATTCCCATGTTGGTGTCACGAAAGGGGGCCATTTTCCACAAACAATGTTTTACATCAGGTGATGGTCTCTGGAGGCTTGTTTTTTTCTCTGTGGGTGGGGGTCTCTTAGTCAGCTTCCCTCTAGTTGGTCGATTGGATTGGTGGTTTGGTGGTTATTCAGTGGTCCGTGGTTTCCCATTTACCCTCCACAAGAACCAGGGGTTACTTGACTCAGGGCCCATATTCGCCCCGGCAATGTTAAAGCTACCGTCCTGTCAGGGGTGCCATTGGGTGGACGTGGATGCCATTCCCGAGTTGGATTCCACGCTCCTCACGTACCGACAAAGGGAGCAATCTTTGCATTGCCCGACTCGACTCACCTTTGCTTGGTGGTTCCCAGCCATCCCCTTATTTTTTTAGCCTTTTAGTGTTTTGTGGGGATCTCCATTCAACCCACTACAAGCTAGTCACTTTTAGCGGGGGATTTGAGGACAGCCCAGTTTGGTGTTCCATCATTTTCCCTCGCAAAACTTTCAACTCGTTCCCTCACGTTCACATCTTGCCCGCGGGGCCGGATTAGCTTGGCTCGGTTTACTGTCACGGTGCACCCGAGGCGTGTTCCCCACTCGCCCACCCACCCAAATGCAGCCCATACGCCGTAAGGTTCCTCAGAATGAAAGTCAACCCCATGAAAATCCCTCGAAATGTCCATCGCATTCTCCGGTGAATTTCAAATTTGTGTTTTTGTTTTGAGCGTTTCTTGGGACCGTTTTTAGGATTTTTGAAAGCGACACCGCGAGGAACAGCACAACTTGTACGGGTCTTATTTTGACACGGACCCTGTCAGCCTTCAGTCTTGTTCGGAAGACGAGTATGGCGACCGCCCGCCTGTTCCGCGAGGTATCAACTTTGTGGCCGACAAGATCATTTGCTTGACCTTGGACCCTTGGCATTTGTGCAAGTTGGGGCCCGTTTGGGTATGCATTTTATTCGCTATTTGGGAAGATCGGTTTGCGTGCGCGTGCGCCTGCGCATGCACGCGGGCGCGGGCGCGCTGGCGCGCGTCTGCGCGTGTGCGTGTGTGCGCGCTGGCGTGCGTGTGCGCGTCTGCGTTGTGCGCGTGTGCGCGTGTGCGCGTGTGCGCGTGTGCGCGTGTGCGTGTGTGCGTGTGTGGGTGTGTGGGTGTGTGGGTGTGTGTGTGTGTGCGGAGTGACAGAATGCCCTGTCACCACCTTTTCGGTTCCTCAGCAGGGGGCGCAGGGAGTTTCAGCGAGTCCTGCGCCAACGAAGACGCTCGCTGTTAACTCGTGATATCCAGCCTGATCAGCTGGACGTACCTGCAATTGTGATGTTTGTGAATGTCCTTTTGGTCCCCCCCCCTGAACTGCCGTTGCTTCTGTGTGTCCCTGTTAAAGTAGCTACAGGGAAGCCAAGCGTTATGCGAGTCGAAGCTCATCATACTCGAGACTTATCAGTTGTACTCGAGACTCATCAGTTGTACTCGAAAGATTAGCACTCTCCATTTGGAGTTTAAGTGTGTACACCCCATTCGTGGGGAATCCTCGGGTGTACCCATTGTGTGACCCCGGGCCGGCTCTGTCGGAAAATTTGACCTCAACGTGCTTATCATAGAACAGCGGAATTTCACATTTAACCAGGAACGAGGTTTCACTAAAGGGAAGACAGCGGTCAGATCATAGAGACGTCTCACCACTGATGTTTGCGTTTGCTTGCCATTTGTTGGATTCGCTGATACCTTGCCGTTGCATGGATTTGCATGTTGTCTGATACGTGTCTCTCAAGGTGGAAGCGTGAAGATTGAGAGTCGATTTTGTAACCATGTCTCGACGTGATGATCGTGATAGATCCAGGACTCGGCGCAGACGTGATCGGAGTACTTCTCCTCAAGCTCGTAAAGCACACCGACGTGAACACAATGACCACCACGTCTCGGAAGGCATGGATTGGAACAACCTGGTATCTTGGCAACACAATTCCGGCTACAACTCTGCCAACAATTTCCCGATGATGCCCACCAATTTTCAATCGACTCATAGTCCCACACAGCAATTCCAACATCCAGCGATCAACTGCATGATGCCGATCCCTCCAGACCCCACGCCAACGAAGTTCATGCCACCCGTGATGCCACCACCGGTCACTACCCCGCAACCTACACCGCCACCTGGACCTCCTGCGGCTCTACCGGTTCGTCCTCAGAAAGCCTGGCTTACACCATCGCCTGACTGGACACCTGGAGATGGCATGTTTGATGTCAATCAGCTCTACAACTTCAGCCTGCCCATGACCGTTGCCAACACTCCACATGGCAACCTGCGCGACATGTCAGGCATGGATATTCGTGACGTTCGCCTGGTTCAGGTTATTCATGGGGGCCTCACCAACTGGCTGCTCCGACCGTTCGCTCACGGCAGATTCGTGACGTGGGAAGGCTTTCGCACTCGCACCGAGGCCTTGCTTTGGAGTACCTGTTCCAAACTACTACGACGGTCACAGTCGATCAACCTGCTCACCCTGGAAAAGGACCTTGCCAACTCGCTGGGTCTCAACATCGATGACTTCAATCAGCGGATCAAGGTTCATGACCATTTGGCCAGCTTGGTACTTCAATTTCTTCAGCAACACCACGCTTCTCTCACACCTTCCACCCAGACAGATGACATGGTCAAGAAGCTGCTCCAGGCTCAGTATTCAGCATCGCTGCGCGCTTCGACCTCCCCCACGATGGCAAGCCAGAAAGATGATGCAGAGTTGGTTACACCGCCACCGGTCAACCACACACAATCCTCGTCACCTGCCAGCTCCCTCCCTACGGCCAGCGCAGCGGCCCTTGATGGCAAGTCGTTTGATAGCACGGTGCAACCCCGGATCATTCAGTCTCTTCACGGAGTGTCTTCACCGCCGTCCAAGCCGGCGGCGTCGCGATTGCTCACCATGCACAGCACGCCGGAAGAAGTTGTCAAGTACTACACATGGACCAGTGAACAGCCACGCCTTTATCTCAAGCAATCGCCCACAACCACAACTTTGACGTCACTGGTCAAGTGGGCCAATCAACCGTCCCGGCTCAACGGCAACAAGTCATTAGATTCCATGGCGACGCAGCTCCTTCAGGCGCGTCAACGCATGCCGAAAGGCGACGCACCTACTCTCGGGGCGATGGCGGCTTCGTGGGGACTGGAGCCCGGCTATCTCACCAAGCTCACTGAGAAGGCATTGAGTCACCTCATCGTGACCGCTCGCTTACTCAGCGGATGACCAGGCATCTTAACGACCTTCGTTCTCTTATGAGCCCGGAGCGGCAACCGTGTCACGGATGAGTCAAGGTTAAAACTCGTCCGTCAACTTTTTGCGTTGCATCAGTTTGATCTTGTGCTTGGTTGTGCTTGCATTGCCTTGTGCGTGATTGTCTGTGCAGCTTGTATCCATGTCGCCGCCTTATGGTAGATTTCATTGGTTGCATTTTCACCATGTTGGCTGAGCTTCGCCGCTGTGGAATCTATGATGATGTTGCACAATGGCAGTCTCTGGACAACTTTTTACACTCGTTGACTATGTTCTCTACGTGCTGGCAATACTGCTTCCCTGGACTACCAACACCGCCGATACCAGCTGATGAGTACGAATCAATCACACAGCTACCGTGGTTGGGCCTCATTCTGGAAGTCTTAGTTGTGGTCCGGATTGCCCTTCAGATTCCGAATCACGCTATGTCACACTCTCAACACACTGTGGCCAACAGGTATGAGCTTCATAGATGTCGATGCACTGCCTATTTATTGATCAGTTTCTTGCAACGTCTCATTTCCCAAGATCATGGCTACTTTCCACCGTTCTTTGAAGTCCTTCACTTCTACAAGGCTTCTCTCTTGTGTGAAATTATGCACTCCACTTTTGCCGACACGCGACATCTTCGCTCATTGCGGGCACGGTTTCCGGACCTCTATGACTTCATTCACGATCCAGGTCATCATCAACAACCGTGCGTCTACATCCGACTTTCCCCATGGCACACACCTTACTACGTTGGTGCGACTGATCAGGATGTTCTACGACGTGAACACTCACGCAGTCGCAAATTTCTACAACTACTTCGGGGACGTCATGCCTTCTTCGAACCCGCGCTTCACTACTGGAAGCGGTCCAATACTTACTGGCTCTTCTGTGCTGTTCCGGTTGAGATCAAACTTCCCGTTTCCTCGGTTTGGGTCCAGGAAAGCAAGTGGCAATACCTGCTACGCCCGCATTTGAATGCACCCTGGGCACACAGACTTCTACGAAAGGTGGGCTTCCGGGAACATCTCGTTGATTTTCGACGTCATTCGTTGTCGTCTCCCACTTCCCTCGGTTTGCACAAACGCTTTCGACGACGACTACATCCGGATCTCCAACGGCAACTACGTCCCGACATGCTGGATGACATTCAGGCCCATTACTCTATTCTCTATCAGCTGGGATCCAACACATGTGCATCGTTCCAACCCATGCGTGACCTTCTGTCGGCAGCTTTCCCTCCTACTCAGCTTTACTACTTTCTGCGGCTCTCCGTCTTTGTCAACGAGCCCTTCCGCTCCAAGGCACAGAAACTCCTCGCCCAGGTGTTACGAAAACGACAGCTACAATCACCCACCACTTTGACACAACTACTCCTACCGCCTCTACATGTCCGGAATTGGAAAGCTCAACTTGGCACATGGTTACAAAGCTGGATTGCTTCTCATCGTGATTTGTTTCCCTCCCTTTTCCTTCCAAAGATCCGGGTGGTGGAAACTCGCAGTGCCACGTTGGGCAACAAGATCTACAACTACCGCACATGGCAGCGCAGATGGACTCCTGAAACATCTTTTCCGTGTCGCTGTTTGGACATCAATGATCACCATATACACCGAGTACATGGACATGCTGTAATGGTTGATGAGTTCTCACGCATCAATGCGGACATTGACATGGAAATCACGGCCGCGTCAATGAAGGATCAGTATTTCGGTGATGTCGACTTGTTACATCAACGTTTCACTACGCAACTTCGCAAACTTGCTCGTCGCTGGCATGTGCATGGTTCCAGTCTTCTTGTTGATCTGCAGCCGGTTTTGACTCAATTGATGGACACTCATCGATCTAACCTTCAAGATCGTGCTTATTGGTCATCGACATCATTGCAGCGCACCGTGGCTTCTCTGTCATCGTGGGTTGTAATTCCCGCGGATCATTTCCCCTCTCGCGCACATGTGATTTGTCCGTCCCTGTTTGCCATACTGATGCGGAAGACCTTTTGCTCGGGAGATGTCTTTTCGCTATGTCGTGAATCCGCAGCATCTTTTCGCTCTGAAGTGGTGACTACGGTACCTTCCCTCCTACGTCAGCGATATGCATGGGGACTTCGACTTCAAGCACCGTTGCCCACAGCTCGCATCCTTCCAAAGCCGACCAAGGACTGGCAGAAAGCACGACCCATCATTTCATTCTTTCGCACGTGGGCAGCTCCCTTCCTCACGGTCTTCGGCGCCCTCATATTTGAACTTACCAAAGCTACTTTTCCCGACATTGCAGGTCAACTTTCAGTACAAGAACTTGTCCAGCAGCTGTGGGAGTCGCTGTCAAAGGCTGATCCCGATGAATACATCCACCTGGTGTCTCAAGACCTGTCAGGCTTCTTCACGTCCATTCCTACGGAACGCTTCCACCAGGCACTACAGGTGCTTCTCCATCGGTACGATCAAGTTGTTGGCCTTCGCAGATCCTCTCAATGGTCAGTGTTCGAAGTAAAGTCTGATCATCGACGCCGTATGTTCAAAGGAAAATGGCGCCGTCAAACAAAGATCCCTCGAACTTTTCATGAACAAGATCTCCGGCACCTTCTGGACTTTGTCATTGACAACAGTCACTTCGAGATCAACGGATACTTGTTCCGCCAAGAACG